TTGAGCAGCAGAGCATCAAACTTTAGTGAGTAATCAAACTTTAGATGAGTTCTACTAGGGTCCATCATTTTTAGTGAGTATTAAGTACGTATATGTAGTTCCTCCTTAGAGTTAAGTCAAAGGGAGACCAAAAGATACACTACAAGAAATTCAAGCATTACCGGCAGTTTTTTCCAGCAGTAAGATTAAGATTTTTGGCAGTTTAAGAAATTACAGGCGATTTTCTAGCAGTTCTCAAGCCGCTGGTAAAAATCACGTAGGAAACTATTTCCAACGGTTATAATCACAGATGGATTTTTGATAGTGAAGACGGCCGGTAAGTTCCGGCGGTCATAGCACCGGTGACCACCGGTTAATCACCGACGGCCAAATCGCTGCAGTGCTGCTGGATGACCCCGACGATCACCGATAAATCGCTAGTTAATCACCGGTAGTTTACTAGCAATCAGAATCACATGTATTACATATGGCTAAACTGGCAATTTTCCATCGGATACCACCGATAAACTGTCGGTCATTATCGATGACATGATTAACATTCTGGTGGCTATAGTAAGCCGTATGGTATTGGCATTTCTAGAGACCAAACCGTCGGTTGGTTGTTGGAAATCTATAACATTTAAAAAAAATGATAGCCTCTCCTATATATCTACTCAATTTTACCCTAAACACTAAACCTGCATATAATACACAATAATTATCACAAATATGAGCAACACGCCACTATAATCAATCATAACTATTATAAAGTCTACAAAATTAACATATATAATATTGAAATAAAATCCACAATAAGAAAATAAAGTTTACAAGTTCATCAAAACAAATAAACTCAATAAATCAAATAAAAAAATAAAGGTTGATAACATATAAATCCATAATAACATGTCGTTGTCCTAGCTTTCACATAACAAGTTCATCAAATTAAATGTTTAAAACAAAAGTTCATCAAATAAATAAGAGTACTACTCATCCTCTATGTCCTTGCTGTTTAGTGATGCATATGTTTGCTCTTAATTTTCATCTTTTAATTTTCATCTCTATAGGATCACAGCTCTGCCTGCATCTCATTTTGAGCCTTTCTCATCTCTTCTATCTCTCTTATTAGGGCTACAACCCTCCGGCTTACAATTTTATCCATAACAATCTAGCATTTCTAAACCTTTAAACCATTTATATATTGATCTTTTTTGCTCTAACATGAAAGAGTAAGGTGCTTTAGGCTTCACAATTTTTTCATCGGTGGTTGTTACTAACTCTAGATTTTTTTTACTGGCAGTACTCTTTGATGTCCATCCTTGCTTTGACATTATTCTTTCTCTTACCTTTAACATCCATAATTGTATTAAAAATATTATCCATGAAGTTTCTCTCCATGTGCATAACATTCAGATTATGCCTTATCAAATTAGTTCTCCAATATGATAATATCCAGAAAATACTTTTTTAATCTAATTATGTTGAACACCATATTTCAAAAATTTAGACTCTGATAACATTGAAAATCAATAATTATTGGAAAGTTAGAAAGTCTCTATAGTACATCATCACCACTTAATCTGGGTGGAGGAGGTGACCTCTCAACTCTGTTTTTAATGAATACTTCCTTATTCCTCCAAAATGGATGATCTGCAGGTAGGAACATATAATAACAATCAAACCAAGTATTTTTTTCCTCCATATTTTAGTGTGAAAGATTTAGTATTATCCATGCAATTAAATTATCCGTTGGATTAGTTTCCTTTAGAAGGCTAATGAAGTCATTAAAACAATCATGAGGAAAATTATATTCAGATTTGATACTTAGCATCCTCACTGCATTCGATAATTTTGAAGGAGTTTTGCAATCGTCCCAAATTAGTTTTTGAGCTGCATGTAGTAACTCAAAATTTTTTTTGATTTCTGCATTTGGTGGCTCTTCCACACTAGCCCTTAAATTAGGACCTGCTACATAAAAAAAAGTTCTTTATATGGTCTAGTCATTTGATCTTCATCAAATGTTTCAAAAGCTATGGATGGACTAGTATGAGTATCTCTGTGTGGCTCATACTCGCTATGTGAGGTCCAAATCTAGTAGTCTGGAACAATTCCCCTACGATATAAATCAACCTTCTCATCATCGGGCTTTGGGAATGCTTGATTTTTATGCTTTGAATATGGACATCTAAAACATTCCTTCGAACTTAAAGAAAGGCAGTTGAGATGCAACTTAAATGAAAGTCTCAACTCCCTGTATTGATTCATCTATCAATCATCTTTGACTGGTAACAATATGTTATACATCCAATATCTCTCTTCTTAGATAGTCATTAAACGTTAAAGCAAACATTTCCCTACATAGTTCTCAAATTAATTATTAGAAGATATGCACCCTGAACAAGTGTAAGAGCTTTGCTTGAATTAGAATGAATTCACTAACCATCCAATAAATATAATAAGACAATATAAATAATTTTTGTGACAAAATGGAAAACTCAACTAATGACTCCTATCCTATATTTAAGTGTGAAGCCACTATGAATTCCTATGCATTCCTCTACTTCAAGGCCTAACTTGAATTATATCTCATCTATTTCATCATCACACTAAATAGTAGGTTCAAGATATCAAAAATGTGTACTCTTATTAATGCCTTAATCACCCAAAGTCACAATCCCTCCACCAAATTTATTATTACTAAAATTACACTCTATATATTCAATTTTAGATTTACTCAAACAAAACTTTTAAGACTCTAAGGTTGACCTCTATAATTCATGTTTAGCTTCAACACCCTCTTTAGCCTTATCAACAAGAATAATACATCAACAAAAAGTATACACCATGTTACAATCTTTTCAAATGTCTAGTGAGAACATTCATGACTAAAACAAAAAAGATATGGGCTTAAGGCTGATCTTTGATGTAATCCAATTGAAATAAGGAACTTCTTAGTTAAACTACCTTGCATTTACACAGAAAAAACTATTACTCTCACAATATCATTTGAACACAAAATTATTTTTTAAACTAATTAAGAAAAATAACTTTATATATATATTACTTACATTTTTAATATTACCTCAAGATTTTCCTAATGTTCCTTTTATAGCCTTTGGAAGGAATGATGTATGGGCATTAGTGTAGGCTATAATGGAGCTATAGGGGACTAAAAATTCTTCAAGTTTGTGTCAAAAATGGTAAAGGCGATAAGGTTAGCAATTTCCAAGTGGTAAAGAGAAGATGCATTATCTTTTTATCGAGTGAGTGATTTTTGAAATTAATTCTTTGACTTAAAAAGAGTGACCATGGAAATGCACAGTATGATAGAGGCTATCAAGTTTAAAATGTGGCCAAGCAACCCCAAAGAGCTTGACTATTTAGATAAGATGTGATCCCAGTTATTTGGATAAGATGTGATCCCAGTGCATAGAGCAATGCATCTTTATGATGGCTTGAACTGGGTACTTAAACTCCAATATTCAATTAGATACAAATATTCTAGAGATTATCCCCAACTCATTAAATGATATTAGGATATACTTACCGAGGCATTTCATGGTGATATATGTGCCACTTCTCAATCTAAGGAGAAGATTTGAAATGTTGATGGATCCCTTAGTAGGAATTATTAGACAACCACAAGTCAACTAAGTGTGTTTGGATTAGCATCAAAGCATTAATAATAGGAAATTATCGAGTAGTTTTAAGGGCTTTCATTAGATAAATAGTTAATAGAGTAGTTGGTGTTTTAATAAAACTATATATAATATATAAAATAAGTATATGTAATTGAAATTCCAATATGAATAAGAGAAATTTTTGGTTTAATGTTTGATTATTTCTTGCTTTCTTTTTCTTATAAGAAAATGATGCGATGTTATAATACTTATGTACCTTATATGAGAATCCATGAATTAGATAGTATAGGTTGCCACCATACTAAGCCACTGCTAAAGAGGATTCACTGTTATGAGATAATTAATCATGCTAGAAGAAGAATATCCCTGGATAACGGTGTCATTTCTCATGAATCATCAATGAATCTTAATAGTCTTCGAGATTGTATGTTATTCTTTATAATAATTCGATTACAACAATTAAGAAAAAAATTATATTTTTATATTTTAATTTATTGATCAAGAATAATATTTGTACCTTTTGAGATAATATATTATTCTCGATGTCGTATTTGATTATAAAAATAGAAATTCAAAATCATGTTGGATTTATTTTCCCAGACCATGATAGGCTAACTTGGAGCTTCTTATATAAGTGCTTTTCGATAATTGAGATGACATGCATAATTGGCAACACTTCGTTTCAAATAGTGGTGAGTGGCAGCCTCTTGGTGGAGGGCGAGTGATGATTTGAGTAATTAGCGGGGACTCCCCTTTAAGTGTTCAGTTGAATTGGATTTTATGGTCATTGGGCGAGCTCTTTTGGAGGTAACACAATATATGAATTCATGTGTTGTAAGTCACTTGCTATCTATTAAATATCTAAAAAGGTACATGCTAGTATACATACTTGCTAAAATAAAGGGTATATATTTTTATTTTTTGTTATATGATGATGATATTCATTTATTTTGTGGTTGCATTAAGATGTGAGTTGTGATTAACAGTGAGGAATTATCTTTTTTATTGCCACCTTAGACGATGAGCAATCATATAAAATTTGAAATGCTTAAATGTGAATTGTTTGTGCCCTATTTTTTTGCTTTGACATTATTTTTTTAAATGTTAAGATTTTTATGCAATTCAATATCTTTTACAAATATTTCTTTTCAATATCTTAAAAATTATAATTTTATTATAATTAAAATTAATTAATGAATATATTTCCTCTGAATTTTCATTAATTAAAAAAAAAAAGCCAAAATGAATTTACACTTATCGCCATGTGCCAGGGTAGCGTTCGTCTGGGCCGTACGACGAATCCAGAGATTCCACCGTTTTCGCCGACAATCCCTTCTACTCCATTTCCCAAAACACCCCAATATACTTAGTGTACGCCTTCAATTAATGCCTTCTAAGAGGTAATTTTGTAATCTTCTCTCCGTCCGGATGCTTTTCTCCCTGCCCGAACCAGCAAGCACCGTCGTCCCCCGGCTGAACCGGCGGCGCATGGTCTCTAACTGGAGAGCGACTGACTCGTTAGAAGTTCAAAGGAAAAGAATTTTGGGGCTCCATCTCTTGCTCCAACCCTAGCTGAGGAAGCAGGTTTGCATAACTTTGGCTTCGATCTCCATCTTCGAATTTGGTCTCTTTCGCTTTTTCCAGATCCTTCCTCGAGCTATAATCTGTCGGTGATGTTCTCCTTTTCGGATATCGCGGCTTGGATTAATTTCTCCGTGTGAAGATATTTGTTGGATTGTATTTTTTATTTTTTTTTTCTAAATTTAGGTTTGGATCTGGGTGTTAGGTCGAGTAATTGGAGGAAGCGAGTGGACAAGATGGCGAACAGGATGAAGGAGGAAGAGAAGAACGAGAAAATTATTAGAGGACTTCTTAAGCTTCCTTCTAATAAAAGATGCATCAATTGCAATGGTCTGGTAGGAGATTATCCTGTCCTTGGCATCCTGCTTGATCTACTTTATCTTGTTTGATAGTTACTACTGTTCATGCATTATTATTTGTGCTGTAAATTGATCTGGAATTGCAGGTCTTACACGTTGTTATTACCTGGATCTGCTTGAAAATGGCACTTTTATTCGATTAGAGTAACTAGGGGCGTGCCTCTTTGGGATTACTGTGGTTTGGGGAGTACGGCTGATTCATAGAGCCATGGTGCATGATCTGCAGAAGCTTCTTTTTGAATGAAGTTGGAGGGCTTAACAGCTTGTCATAACCGAATACATGAGCCAATAGGGACATGCTTGTTCGAGCTTCTTGAGGTTTAAGGATTAATGCTGAATGATAAAGCCATTATAAGATTTGCATAAGCTTTTTTTTTTGATGAAATTGGAAAGTTTAACTGTTGAAACTAAGGAGGAATATCTTGAGTTCTTTCTTGCAAGAGATAGAGAGGGAGGAGGAGAGAGAGATAGACAGCAATTGGGGAGGAAAATACCTAAAGCTTCATTAAATTTTCCCCAACTCTTACATCAACCCAAGGCCTCTATTTATAGAGCATTACCAAGGTGTGATAACATACATGAGCAAAAAAGCTTAAAACTAAAACAACTCATAACAATCTCCACCTTGATTTAGTTTTACAAAAAAAAAAAAACCCAAAGAACCACTCGTCACAAGAATTCAAACTTATTGCAATCCAACCGATCGCCCTGGACACCCGTGCGCGCTTCTACCTGCGACTTCGCACTATCCACCTGTCCAATCCCAAGTTCGCGATCATCTTGCCTCCATGAGGTTCTTGATGCTTCAACATGATCCTATAATTCTCCACCTTGATCGAATCCAAGATCAAGAGTCTCTCTCTCTGCCTCTGCAGCTGCCTTCCGGACTCCATCTGAATCTTGACCGTAAGAACTTCAACAAGATCTTGTCACAAACTGTTCATCCACGGCCTCATTCATTCTTCCACTTTCAAGATCACCCAAAGCATCTTTAACCAGCAAACAAAACAAGCAAATTCTGCTTCGATTTCCTGTAGCCTTCTTGCCACCTATTATCTTGATTGCTGCTTTCTTGAATCTCTTGTACCACGTTCGGCTTCTCAACCCGCTCCAGGCCCGACTCCATGCCAACCGCCCGCTCAGCACAAGGCTCCCGTTGTCTCTACTCCAGGCGAGGCCCAAGAGTGCTCCGCATGCGGTCCTACCCGCGATCAAACCCTTCGTCCCGCTAGTCCCGATCGCGCCAGCCCACGCGTCTGCCTCCAGCCGACTCTACTTCGCCTCCGACCGTGCCTCCGGTATCCGAACTCAGGTAAACGTCCGGCTTTCAACAGACAACCCCTTCCGGTTGTCTTTCTAGGAGAGGAAAGAAACAACAAGCAAGAGAGACAAGAGAGAAAACAACCCTCTTCAACACACACAAGAAATTCTCTAGATTTCTTAAACTCTCTCTTCTTCCTCCTCACACAAGAAGCTACAAACAAAAAATCTAACCCTCTTTCAGCTCTCAGTTCTCAAAACCCGAAAACCAGAGAAAATCAATTTCCCTTACAGCTTTCCTCTACGCAATGCTTCTGTGCGTTGCCGGCAACTTGAACACCTTCCTCCATCTCCCTAGCTCTGATACCAAATGTTAGGATCTTGGAAGATGTTCTTGAGAGAGAGAGAGGGAGGGAGAGAGAGAGACAACAATTGGGGAGGAAAATACCTAAAGCTTCATTAAATTTTCCCCAACTCTTACATCAACCCAAGGCCTCTATTTATAGAGCATTACCAAGGTGTGATAACATGCATGAGTAAAAAAGCTTAAAACTAAAACAACTCATAACATTAACAATGACCCATAATCACAAATTATGTAGTCATAGATATAGGTTTTTTTGTTAACTTGATTTCCTTTTCTAACTTGTTTGTGTCACTGACCCCATCTTGGATCACTTTGATCCTCTGACGCCTAGCTCTCACTATTCGTTTCATTTCCCACTGAAAAAGTGTGTTGATCCTATAGGATATTGTATAACAAGTGACATCCAGCAAACTTGTATTTGTTGCGTTGTTGATATATTTTTCCTCTATCTAAATACCCTGCTTTTCGTGAAGTTAGGGCAGAACGTCTCTATTTTCTTGTTATATTAATTATTCATTTGTTTCCTTTGTTTTCTTTGTTTTCAATCTAAACTTGTTGTGCTTTGTTGATATGACTTATTTTTCCTTAATGTTTTTTATTTTTCAAAAATAATGAAGTTGGTTTTTTCATTAAGATACCAGCTATTAACAAACATGCCTAATTATCTTCTACTCTCTGATGAGTCGATATTGCACAGAAATGTTGATAATTTCTCATTCTTTTCTCAGTTGTCTATTCTTAAATCTTAAAATCCCAAGATGACCTTTGCAGTTTCCCCTTTGGATTAGAAAACATTTTTTGGTTATGTGATGTAAAATATGTTTGCCTTCATTTAAAAACAGTTTCAGGAATTGCTTCGATGAGTTGCTTGTTCATTATCTTCTTCTAGAGAAACAATTAATGCTTGAATACGAAAAACCTTAATTCAGCTTATAAAAATAAGTCCTATTCTATATTCAAATTCTTTTAATGGTCTTCCATGTATTTGGTTCTATGTTATCACTTCTATAACAGGCTTTAACCTTCTCGAATTGTAATTTTCTTACTTTCTTTTCATTTTATGGTGAAGTGTCATCAATTAAATTTGTTCTTAAAATCATGGCAAGGACATTCTAATAAGTAAAAGGAATTATTTAATTTAATATATGATGGAATAAGATTTTTTTTTTCTGCTTTTTTTATACCATATACATCCAATAATATATAACTGTATAGGATAACACTTCTACAACTGTCGTTAACCTTCTATAATTATAACTTCCATGCCTTACCTTTTTTTGTTCTTTTCATTATCAACAACATTATTGTGAGCCATATCTTCGATATTTGGGGTTTGTTTCATAAATATAAATATTTGGTTCTCTGTCTAGTTTACTCAAGCCTTTCAAGGAAAATTCTATTTAGGGCTGTCCTTTCCTTTACATTCCTTCAAATTAATTATATTTCTCCAGTTTAATTGAGCATCTTTAGCTAAATAATATCAATTCCAAAGTCTTTAACTATTTTCTTCAACTTTTACGACTCCTTTGGGCTTTTAGTATAATCATTTCTAACTTTATCTTTTATAGTATTTCAACACTTTGGTTATGTGTGAAGCAAATCATTTGAGATGCTAATTTACTTATTCTTTTTTTAATGGAATTTAAGCAACTAATGCATGATGCAAGGTGATCTTGAAAATGAAAATGTAATGAAGCAAAGAGGAAGATAAATAGAGTGAGTACCAAGATAAGAAAATCTCATGTTTAGATAATTCTATTACCTCTTCTAGAAGTGTTTCATGTATTACTCTTGGGTAAGAAACAAAATCCCGTAATGGATGAAGAAGAAGAGTTTCCACATGCGTAGTTAGAATTTTATTCATATTATAAACTTATCTTATATGACTCAGAATTTCATATATATACAGGAAAAAAATAATAAGTTACTAGCAGGTTGTTAATAAATTAATTGCTAACTTAATTATATTGATTATATTCACCTTAGAAAAATTATGAAACCTCAAAGATAAACAACTCAAGTTTTAATGGGAATGTAAAATTTTAAAATTTTTATCAGCATCAATTCCCCTTGTTTTGGAACGCTTCACTTTGAAGAGTGATATTACTAATACAACCAAAGTTAACATCATTCTTAACTTTTTATAGATCATCAAATGTTGGATTTTTTATGGAGTAGAGAATGATATGAAGTTGAAGGAATACCAACATTCTCATTTTGTAGATGTAGGTGGTTTATTTTAAAATCAATGAGATTTACATTTGTTTTGTAGTTAAATTTTCTTTTTTCTTTCTTTCTTTTCCTTTTTTTCTTTCGTTCTTTCTTTTCAGCGAGGGTGGGAAGATAAAGTTGGCCAAAATGTTGTTAGGATAGATGTAAACTTGATTTTTGTCTTGCATTTCCTTTTTTCTTTCTTCAAGTCAATAATGCCAGCTTGTGTAAGAAGAATGGAGGCATACTTGCCTTGTCTAAGAAAATAACCAAGTCAAAAGATATTTCAAGTCCAAGAAAATAATGTAAGTTGTTGAGATCTTTCATTTCAAAATAATGCTGAATAGGTCTTTTGAGAGCAATGATATTATCGTTGTCATTGCTAATAATTAATAGTTCATGCACATAAAGAAGCTGCAATATTGTGCCTTTAGAATATTGATGAATAAATAAAGCTGAATCATAGGATTGGAAGAGTAACCAAGATCATGATAAATGCAATCAAACTTTGTGAACCCTGCATAAGGAGCTTGTGAATACCATAAACAGGTATATTTAAGTAAATAGATCTTTCCCATTGGAATATCAAGATTAAATGGTACATTTTGAAGTTTTGTTGCTAGTGTTTGTTAGAGAAAATCTGTGAAGAGGTTTAAAGACTAGATCAAAGTTTGTTAGGACTTTGAACCAAAATTGAATTTGAATGAGGCAATTTTTTTGAGGAGAGGGAGGTTCGAATGTGGGGGAAAGTAAGATGCTAAGGTCAGTTCATTGTTTACTTGACAAATAAAACAACAGGAAATAAAATTCAAACATGATTATGAAAATTTAAAGATGGTAATGAAACCTCAAGAAAAATTGCTTTCAATGTAGAATCCTACATGTCAAATTAACTAAAAAAACCATGTCTTTGATATCTATTTGATGCAGGATGACCTTGAAAAAGTTAGAAAAGATATTAAGTTATAGGGAAAAGATATTAAGTTAAAAGGAAAAGATAAAATGAATAATTAAGGAAAGATAACTGAGCTTCATGCTTGAACAAGGAGATCGCCTCTCTTGATTATGAAGCACGGATACTTCTAATTGCCATTGTGTCTGTGTTAGACATGTATAGGATACATACACAACTCCAACT